TGCAGACCAGGCTGGCCTTGAACTCATACAGATCGGCTTCTCACTGCCTCCCAAGTACTAGGATTAAAGGTGTGTACCGCTATGCCAGTTTATTATATAGCTGATTCTTTCAATGTTAAAAAACCAAATACACTAAACAAAAGAAAAATAGAATAGAAAACAAAAGGTTTGAATTTAAGCTTTTAGGATAAATCAGTATTTTGATGAAAAAAATAATAAAAGTAAAGCATATATTTTAAATGCCAAATATCAATCAAAACAACCATGAGATTCTACCTTACACCCATCAGAATGGCTAAGATAAAAAACTCAAGTGACAACACATGCTGGAGAGGATGTGGAGAAAGGGGAACTCTCCTCCATTGCTGGTGGGAATGTAAATTTGTAAAACCACTTTGGAAATCAATCTGGTGCTTTCTCAGACAATTAAGAATAGCGCTTCCTAAAGATCCAGCTATCCCACTCCTAGGCACATATCCAAAATATGCTCAGGTATACAATAAGGATATTTGCTCAACCATGTTCACAGCAGCTCTATTTGTAATAACCAGAATCTGGAAACAACCTAGATGTCCCTCAACGGAGAAATGGATACAGAAATTGTGGTACATTTATACAACGGAATACTACTCAGCTATTAAAAACAAGGAAATCATGAACTTTGCAGGCAAATGGTGGGAACTAGAAAAGATTATCTTAAGTGAGGTAACCCAGAAGCAGAAAGACACACATAGTATATACTCACTCGTAAGTGGTTATTAGACATATAATATAGGATAAGCATACTAAAATCTATAGTCCTAAAGAGGCTAAACAGCAAGGAAGACCCTAGGGAAGATGCTCAATCCTCATTCGGAAGGGCAAATGTGATAGACATCGAAAACAGGAGAAGACAGGGAACAGGGCAGGCGCTGACCACAGAGGGCTACTGAAAGAGTCTACCCAGCAGGGTATCAAAACAGATGCTGAGAATCATAGCCAAACTCTGGGCAGAGGGCATGGAATTTTACGAAAGATGAGGGAAATAGACCTGGAGGGGACAGGAGCTACAAAAGGAGACCAACAGAGCCAAAAAAAAAAAAAAAAAAGAAAAAAAGAAAGGGCCCTAGGGACCCTGCAGAGACTGATATCTCAACCAAGACCATGCATGGAGAGGATCTAAAACCCCCTGCTCACCTGCTCAGATATAGCCCACAGACTCGGTCTCCAAGTGGATTTCCTAGTAAGTGGCGCAGGGACTGTCTCTGGCATGAACTCAGTGGCAGACTCTCTGATCACCTCCCCCTGGGGGGGGTGGGTGCAGCCTTGTCAGGCCACAGAGAAAGACAATGCAGCCAGTACTGTTGAGACCTGATAGGCTAGAGTCAGATAGAAGGAGAGGAGAACCTTCCCAATCAGTGGACTAGGAGAGGGGCATAGGTGGAGAAGTGAGATTGAGAGATGAGGTAAGGGACCACAGCCAGGATTCAAAATGAATAAATTGTAATAAATAATAAATTTTAAAAAATTAAAAGCTAAATATCTGCAAAGGTTTGCAATAAAAATTATTAGGTTTCCCCCGTCTGTCCTGCTTCATAGAAATAAGCAATTTTAGCTCCTTTCTATTTTATTCTCCAGAAATTTTCAAATACTTCTAAATGTTTTCCCTTTATCCAATTTTAAGTTATCTAATGGCTTCTTATCTAATGGCAGCTTAAGATTTAAAAGTTTTTTACATCTTCTCTTCATCTGTCTTCCTCTCAAAATTTTTGGCTTAAACTGTTCATAATATTATAACCTAAACCATTGTTCACTGCTAAATTAGTCAATAAACATCAATTATTTCTTCTGTTTTATATTTTTATCACTGGTATAATTATTTTTCTTTAAATTATAGGCATTCTTTTTATACAGAAATTTCTCTAGGCTTTCACAGATACCAAAACCTGTAAGATGGATACAGCCTACACACATTCTGCTTTTTAAATTGTCTCTCAACTGCTTAAAATACCAGATACAATGTAAATGTTATATAATGAGAAGCTATACCACCCTGTTTAGAAATAGCTCTTGGTTGGGTTTTTTTGTGGACTTGACATAGGCTAGAGTTATCTGAGAAGAGGGAACCATACTTGATAAAAATGCCTCCAGAAGACTGGCCTATAGGCAAGCCTGTGGGATATTTTATTAATTAGTGTTTGATGTGAGAAGGATCATCCTATTGTGGGTGGTGCCACCTGTGGACAGTGTAAGAAAAAAGGTTGAGCAAGCCTTGGGGATCTAGTACTCAGCACCGCCATGGCCTCTGCTTCAATTCCTGCCTCCAGGTTCCTGCCTTGAGTTCTTGCCTTGACCTCCTTTGACAAAGGACTGTGATGCGGAAGCGGAAGCGAAATCGAAATAAACCTTTGACCATGGGGTTTTATCACAGCAATAGAAACCTTGACTAAGACACAATTTGGAATAATGAAATGTTGTGGTATGAACATGTTTTTGTTTTAACCCCAGGTGTGGGATATAGGACTGCTTCTGACAGCAGCAGCAAATGATTTGTTCAGTGAAGGCTCTGAGAGGGGCTCTTTGCCAGCTGCAGATAGTTTAACTCTGAGAACACTGGAGAGAGAGTAAACGCCAGAGCCACGGAAGTGTGGAGAAGCTCTGCTGCTTCCACCCTTTGGCTCCTGTTGCTGTTGATGTGGTGAGACAAAAAGTTGGGAGATCTCCTGAAACAAGGATTGGCCTCACACCAAGGAAACTGACGACCCTAACCAGCAGGAAGCAGCTGAGAGAACGGCAACCTCTCTCCCACTAACGCTTTCTCTCTCCTACCTGGTGCTGCGTTTTTGGAAGACATTGGGGTGGAGCAGGGAGAAAGAGATATAAAAATTTTAAATAAAAGAGGTTGTTTTTTTTTTTTTTCTAAGTATGGAGCAATGTGTTTAAAACAGACATCACTTTTTTCTCTGAATATTTTCTATTGGAAATTAGTAAAATCCTCAGAGTTAGAACCCACAGCCATGGGAGCACCAATGTACAGGGTCTTGATGCACTCTGGTTGCTCTAAGGTTACCAGATATCGAGTCTTTCTTCTACAAATAAGCTTTCTGGTTACTTTCTGTTCATCTATTGTGGGCCAATTCTCAACAGTTATTCTCTTAGATACTTACACAAATGTTACCTTGGGTCTTCCTTATACTGATCATAACAATTTGCCCATTTTATTGGGGGCAGGTTCCACTTGGATAGCACATAGTACCTTTGATCTCCCTTCTCCCTTGTCTACTCTTTCATACTGAAAAATAAATTATTCTTCAGTATTATCTTTTAAAGGTCTCTTTCACACACACCCACAGAAATCTGATTCCTCTATATAGTTCCTTATTGTACTTCTATCATCTGGGCAGATAAAATACAGGAGTCATTGTTCTCTAATCTATCTCTTTTCTGTACACATGCATTCTAATTCAATCTATCAATGACTCTGGCTCTAATGCCAAAGTATATTCAATATCCAACAGCTTCTTACCATTTCCACTGTCCTGGTTCTAGCCTAAATTTCCAAAGTAAAGATCTCTTACTGTGGTTCCATTTTATGATCTGAAAAACTTACTATCATGTTCTATCAGTCTTCTGGAGAGAATTTAACTTGGTGCGTACAAACCTCTTCACAATTCAGCTCCTGACACCTTCTTAGCCAAAAATATCAAATATCTCACATTTTCTGGAACTCCTATTTCCTTATATTGTGTGCAATTTTGGAAGTTATTTCCATACCTTTTCCAGTCCCCAGAATACTAATAACTGATTCTAATATCAACATAAACTATATTTATGCTGTGAAGCACATACAATGGTAATTGTTTGTGATCTATCCACTAGATTAGAACTCCTAACGCAGGCTCATGATAGCAGGCACTGGGAATACTCTCCACTAATCAGTACTATGTTCTCCAAAAGTATTTCATTTTCTTAAAGGTTTCTAAAACTTGCGGCTTCAAAGTGAAGTCCCTTATACAGAACTTTTCACCTTACATTTCTACTGTATTTTACATTACAATGTTGCTTTTTAAAAATTTATCATCCAGCATGTAACATATAGTTGTGGTTATCAATCAACCCAGTATATTTTTTCATTAAAATGTTTATTTAGATCTATTGATCTTTTAGTTACATACAACATCATATTCTTATAACTATCACATGATTTAGGTATTATACAACAAAACACAGTGTATTGCTAGAAGTAGTTAAATATGGGTAACTACGTCACACAACTATTACATAATACGACTGGGGCTTAACGTTTATAATTTTTATTGAGTATTCTTAACTTCAGTCTGAGTTTATAATTCAACCCCATACCTAAAAAAAAATTGCATTACAGTTCAATTTTACTTGTCTAGTATACTTTTACAATAACTAACAAACATCTAAAAATCGATCAGATATTTATATGCTTTGTCATCTACAAGGTTCACCCTGAGAATGAAAACCCTTGTATGTTAAGAGTATGTTAGCGCTGTCCATCTTCTACTGCTCATAGACCATGGATAAGCACTATGAGTATGGTGGCTGAAAGCAGGACCCTGAATATGCTTCTTCACAACAGCATGTCTCTAGAAAGGTTAGTGTATCATTTCCAGGGTCAATCACTTTTTCCAATCATTGTTTCAACTAATAACTAGTTCTTTGCAACTTTAACCATCTTTTCATTATAAAAGGCAAGGAGGGTATATAATGTTATTAACCATGGTAAGTGGAAGAAAAGCCAGGAGAGCAGAATTTGCAGAGAAGTGACCCTAGAAAGTATAATGAGTTTGAGAACTCTGTTTTGTATTTCCATTTGGAAAGTGTGACATCCGAGTAAGAATAGTTGCTTCTTAAATATGGAGACAGAAGAAAAGGGACAGTTTTTAAAAGGTTGCTTTGAAACTTAATCACAATCTACAACATTATCATGGAAAACAAAGGAGAAAAATGAGGGATGAAAGAACAATCCATCTCTCTTGTTAAGATCTTACCATTTTATAGAGATCCGAGACACTAATCTGGTCTGAATCCACTACTTCAAAGTCCTTCCGAGGTACCAAGTCCAGGCCCAAATGCCTAATAAAGAGAAAGACCACTCTCAGATTTGCGGGTCCTCAGATTACTCATCTCTCTGTAGAACAGGACACTAGATCACCTGTCATGATTTTGTAGATGGAGCTTTGAGCACCTGCCTTTATCTAGCAACATCTAATTGTACTCACTTTGAGGCAAATAAATAAAGCAAGGGATTTTAAGACACAATTCTAGTTACCAAGCAGTTCCACTTGTAATTACAAAAAGCTTTCATTCAGTATGTTCATAACAGTACTTTATTTCTTTAAGACTACTTTTTGTTAGGCAAATAATAAGCCATTTTTATTTCTCTATTTTTCCCACCATACCAATATGCTCACAGTTCAATTATATATTATTTTCATTAAAAGAAAAAATTAACACATAAAAATCATGTCCCAGAAGCTACCATGGTAGCACACTTTTTATCTCCGCACTCAAGGGCAGAGGCAGGCAGATTTCTGTGAGTTCAATTCCAGCCTGGACCACAAAGCAAGTTTCAGGACTATATATAAATACTATATATAAATACAGTGAGACTCTGTTTCAACAAAACAAACAAAAACTCACATCTAGAAATGTGTTTTAATTTAGTTGTTTATTGTTTCCAATTTAGTACTAACACTGCTAAGTCCTAAACACAGATAAGCTGTAGTATCTTTAACATTAGACAGAGGGTTATGGAATACTCGAGCAATAGAACTTAAAGATATAATTTTGGAAAGAAAAAAAGAAATGATGATACTTTTTCAGCTGATGGTGTGTTAGCATTAAGCAGTGGAAAGAACACCAGATGTAATTTATAGTCAATAAATATTAGTCCCCTTCTCACAGTCTAAGATATTAGCTCTAAACCCTGAAGATCAGTGAAGCTGGAGGGTTGTAGACCTATGAAATGGATTGTGACAAGATTGAAGACCATCATGTTTTGTTTTTTCTCAAGGAGAGCTATACTTACCAGAGTTTCAGAGAGTTCTGTGACCATCTAACTTCAAATAAGATTATGAATTACTATGTGTGGCAAAAGTATTCTATGGGACTTTTCTTTTTTATTATTATTATTCTCATTAGTTACATTTTGTTAATTCTGCATCCCAGCTGTATCCCTCATTCCCTCCCCAATCCCACCCTCCCTCCCTCATCACCTCCCTGCCCCTTTCCAAGTCCACGGATAGGGGAGGACTTCCTCCCTTTTCATATGACTCCGTTTTGTCAGGTATTTTCAGGACTGGCTGCAAAGTCCTCCTCTGTGGCCTAACAGTACTGCTCCTCCCTTGGGAGGTAGGGAGGTCAAAGAGCCAGTCATTGAGTTCCTGTTAGAAATAGTCCTTGTTCCCCTTACTTCCATGGGACTTTTCAAAACAACAACCACCACCCTATTTTAAGCTATGAACCTTTTCATAACGTGTTAGCAAAATTAATTCTGTAAGCTCTTTCAGTACACAAAACTAAAACTCCTACTCATTTAAAATAAAGTCAGTTGTGCACCCAAAATGTAGGATTATTTTACTTATAGTTTATAGCTTTGTGCTAGGTGTTGTTTGTTTTTCTTTTGTCAATTTGACACAGCTAGAATAATTTGGGAAGACTGATCTCATCTGAGAAAATGTCTCCATCAAATTGGCCCATGAGCTAGTCTGGACAATTTCTTAAAACTGATGTGGCACAGTGGTGCCACCCCTGGGCAGGTGGCCATGGGTTTTATAGGAAAGTAGGCTGAGCAGGTCATGAAAGCAAGGCGGTAAGCAGTGTTTATCTATGATCGTTGCTTTACTTCCTGCCTGAAGTTCCTACCCTTATTCCTCTTCAAGATGGACTATAAATTGTAAGAGGAAATAAACACTTTCCTCACTAAGTTGCTTTTGTGGTATTTATCATGGCATCAGAAAACAAAACAAAACATAACAAGCCTGTATCGGACCTGAAAGTAGCAAATTACAAGATAATGGTAAAATAAAAACGGAAAATAAAAACTATATGATGAAGATAAAGGCCAGCATATTAAAAGCAAGTATTAACAGTAAAACAATTACTATAATTAAGAATGAAAAGAACATATCAGTATTTGTTAGAAAACTAGAATTATAAAATTATCTTTTAAAATATTTTCCAAGTCTTTATAAGCCATGCCATTTAATTTTTTCTACACAGAAGACACATATACAAAGCAGATTGTGCAAAGATCCTAGTCCTCACTGAGGCAAGAAGATAATGAGTTCTAGGTTACATAATAAGATCTGTATTCATGGGGGGAGGAGAACAAATGGAAAGGGAAGCATGGGTGGGAGGGAACAAAACATTTCATACATATCCTTTAACTGCTGGAAGTTCAGGGATGTACAGCTGTCTCTTGGTATCCAAGAGGGATTAGTGCTAGGAGCCCTCAAGAATAACAAAATCCAAGGATGGTCAAGCCTCTGATATAAAACAGCATACACTCTGCATGTAATCTGCACAATATTCTCAGGTACTTTATCATCTCTACATCACTTCTAATATGCTAGTGTAGATGCTATACAAATTGTTGTTGTATTGCATTGTTTAAGAAATAATAAAAAAAAACATGTAAATTAAGAAAAACGTTTTCCATTTATGATCAGCTTAATCCATGGATATAGAATCTGACATATAGAGGAGCAAATGTATATGCAATAGCCTAAGTATACAAATAAGTAACAACAACAACAACTAAAGAAACTAAGCAAATAACCCAAGGAAAAACAGATGCTTTAGGTACAAGAATTTAAAACTCTCATTGCTATCTAAGTAAGTGGGACAGGAATTGAATGCAAATGTGGTCTGGCCACCATACACACAGGTAATGATGGGCCTGGTGCCTTAGCTGGCTTGTTCACTATACACCAACCCGCCTGATCTATACAAAAAGTTTCTGAAAATTACAAATGTCTGCAGATAAATGACTGTAATATATGGGAAACAATATGCATGTAACTAATGCCACAAACTGTACAGGTCACAATAATCAATTTTATTAGATAAATTTCAATTCAATAATTTTTTAAAAAATCATAATTAAAGGTCACTTCTTTTTCTAAAAGAATTTTCAGTTAGACTAGAATGCTGAGTTGATAGATGTCTTTCATTAAAGACAATGCTCCACTCTTTTCCTTTGATCACGTCATACTAACAGTGCTAGACACAGGGAATATACCAGATTTGAGTCAAGAAAATGTTACTCATCAAACTCACTCCTTTGAGAACAATGCTTGCCAGTTCCTAGAAGTAGCCAGAATGAAGTGCCTTTTCAGTTCATCAAATTCATTATCTTGGGGAATAGAGAATAATTAAGGAGTGATCTAGTAAAAACTAAAAACTGGATTACATGTACTATGATTGTTTTTTTTTTTAAAGTAAAACTTTACTTTTAATTAAGTGTATGCACGTGTTGTCTGTTTGTGGGATATGTGCATGTTAGGGCAACTGCCCAAAGAGGCCAAAAGAGGACATCAGATTCCCCTGGAGCTGGAGTTATAGGCAGTTAGGCGCTACTTGGCGTGGCTGCTGGGGACCAAATTCAGGTCTTCCAAGAGCAAAATGTACTCTTGACTATTGACCTATCTCTCTGGCCTTACTATGGTAATTCTCAATTCAGGAAGAAAAGTTTCAAAAGTTAAACTCGTAACTATTCTCACTGAAGAAAGAGTTACTGCATAAAAAATGTAATTAATACATATTCCCTATTCTGGCTATTTCTTTCTGTAAATTACTTCGAAGACTGTGAATGGAAACATAAGGATGCTGAGGTAAAATAATCATGAATTCAAGGCCAGGCTAACCTACATAGTGAGACTCTCTCTGAGACAAACACAAATAAAATAACTAGAATTATAAATTTATAAATGATCCATTTAAAATTTTTTGACTTCACAATAAAAATACCAATTTCATTTTTTCAACAAAATGTACAGAATCATAATTCCAACTCAACAAAAGTTTTCACAAATACCTGGATATTATTCAAATCTAAACTTCCTTCCTAAAGAATGCAACACATAAAATTTCATAATCTTTTTAAGAGAAATTCATGCTTGTTCATAAGCAGCACAGTTGAATAGGATTGGTGGGTTGCCTCCTTCCTTTGGAAGCTTTCATGGCACCTTTTGGCATCATGAAAGCAAGTAAACTCTTTGCAAGAGACAGAGACCATTACAGAACCACAACCAATCAAAATGCAGAGTTGTGTACCCCAGTCACAATGGTTAAATCTACCAAAAAAAAAAAAAAATCACACTGAAGGTTTGGGGAACACTGCAGACAAGGGTTAGAAATATTCTAAGAACCAGAAGAACAAGAAGTTTGCTGTGAGGTTGTGTCTTCCAGTAATGTCAGAAGCTACACACATAAAGTATCACCAACACGACTGCCAAATCATGAGCTGAACAAGGCAACAACAACAGAAATGCTAAAGTAGATGGGAGAAAGACCATAATACTCAACTCTACAAAAGAACTACAGACAACTAAAGAATGCTGAGGATGGGAGAAAAAGTCTTCTGCTGGGAAGAGCACAGCAATGGGTTAGGCCATACCAACGGTCAGCCCTGAAAACATACATAAAAGTAACATACAGACTGAGCAGGTTGTATTTAGGATTATATATGTCTGTGTGTCTGTCTGCTCTCTGTATGTATATTAACATACATATACACACAAAACAACAATTAATGAAAAAAAAGAGGCCGTGAATTTGAAAGAGAGCAAGCAAGAATATATGCAAGGGTTTGGAGTGAAGAAAGAAAGAGGAGAGATGATGTAATGTATTATTAAAAATAAAAATATTTCTCTCAGCCTCTACTTTGAAACCCTGCTGGGTAGAGTCTTTCAGAGGTAGGCTCCTGTTCAGAGAATTCTCAATAGAGGAATATCAAATGGCAGAGAAACACTTAAAGAAAGGTTCAACATCCTTAGTCATTAGGGAGATGCACTTACACCCATCAGAATGGCTAAAATCAAAACAAAAAACTCAAGTAATAACACATGTTAGAGAGGATGTAGAAAAAGGGGAACCCTCCTCCATTGCTGGTGGGAATGTAAACTTGTACAATCACTTTGGAAATCAATCTGGCGCTTTCTCACACAATTAGGAATAGTGCTACCTCAAGATCCAGCTATCCCACTCTTAGGCATATATGCAAAATATGCTCAAGTACACAACAAGGACATCTGTTCAACCATGTTTGTAGCAGCTTTATTCGTAATAGCCAGAACCTGGAAACAATCCAGATGTCCCTTAGTTGAGGAATGGATACAGAAACTGTGGTACTTTTACACACTGGAATACTACTCAGCAATTAAAAACAAGGAAATCATGAAATTTGCAGGCAAATGGTGGGGCCTCATATTATTTTTATCTTGTTTTTCCATATTTGGTTGACATCCCTGGGAGGCCTGCTCTTTTCTGAAGGGAAATGGAGGAGGAGTGGATCTGGGAGAGAGAAGGAGTAGATCTGGGGAAGGGGTACTGGGATGACTGGAGTGACGGGAGACTGTGGTCAGAATGTACTGTATGAGAAATAAATAAAAAGAGAAAATAACAAAAATAGAGGCAGACTTAAATAGTTTTTGTATGGATTTTAATTTTTGGAAAAGTTGAAAAAATGAAATAGTTCTAGAGCTACCAAAAGGTATTTCCAGTGTTCTTAGTTTTCTTAAAAAATAATCTGTACTCGTTTATAAGATATCACTTTAAATTACGCTCATTAAGATTGTAAAATATGTTTGGATTGTGTCTTAAGCATTACAGTAAAAAGTTAACTGATATTTAAAAAACAATCATATACTTTATTTACTGGTTTTATGGTTGCAGTTAAATTGCAACATGATGAATTGTATAGCTATTAATGGCATTGATTCAAGTTCATTTACTACTATTGATTTTTGTTTTCTTTTGTTTGAGACAGGGTCTCTTTAGTCCTGGCTGTCCTGCAACTCACTATGTAGTCCAAGCTAGCCTCAAACTCAAGAGATCCTGGAATCTTTGACTCCAGAGTACTGTGATTGAAGGCATGCAACACCACTCCTGGCTACTACTATTGATGCTTAAAGTAGATGCAATGATATTTTATAGTATAAAAAGTAGGGGGCTGACGAGGCATATTTATTAGTCGTGCTGTAATTTAACATATTATATTTTACTTAGTATTTTATTGTTCTGAGTCATTAATTTAGAGAACACTACCTGATTAGTGTAACTTGAATTCCAGGACACTACAGCACAGAAGTAGTTTAGTATATAACAGTGATTACAGTGTACAGTCAGGAGAACCTTAATTCATATATACTATAGCATACAAGTTTAGTACATAACAAAAATTACAAAAATTACAGGAAGCAATAAAGCAAAACTAAACCAGGATAGAATCTTGTCCATTCAGAAAAATTACAATCAATTTCAGTTACATTTCTCCATACATTTCTTTCAAACCATTACTGTGACCTTTTAAGGTCCCTCTCATTTTCCCTGATTTTGAAGCTTCAGAGAAGACTGGCTCTAACATTAGCTAAAGTTGATTCTGCCTATATTGGCTTCTTCTGTCAGTAACATACTTCCTGCCTTTCCGAAATAGGTTCACATATCTCATTTCCTAGTGGGTGCTCTGCTCCCGTGCCTTTTCTATCATTTCAAAATGCCTTGGTTGAAAGAACTGAATATAAACATTTAAATATATTTAAGTAAATATGTATGTCTGAAGTAGGAAACAACTGGTTGCTTCAAAGTTCAGTGGACATGAATAATTAAATTTAGGAAGAAATACAAGTTTAATCTATCTCAACATATAATGACAAAGTCTCAATTTTTTTTAAAGACTTGTTTTTATTTTAAGTGTGTGAGTATTTTGCCTGCATGTATATGTACCATGTGCATGTGCGGTGACAGAGAAGCCGTAAGTGAGAACACATCCCCTGGAACTGGAGTTGTAGACCCTCGGAAGCTGCCATGTTGGTGCTAGCAATCAAACGGGGGTCCTCTGAAAGAGCCATTTCTCCAGGCCCCAAACTTTATTCTAAGGGCACAGAAAATCATCACTTCCAATGTACAAATTCAGGAATCTTTTTGAATAACAAATGAGTTAAGAATTTCTGAAGTATAAATCTTTATTTGTAGGTTATTCAGATTAATTGCATGGCTATAAAATGTATTAAGAACACTAGTCTCATATACACACATATGTTTATATGTTGTGTGTGTAGGCACGCAGATGCCCATGAAGAAGTCAAGGAACTTGTAGGAATCAGTTTTTCTTCTACCTTGCAGAATCTGAAGATCAAACTCAGGTGGAAAGGTTTGGAGGCAAGTACCTTTATCTGCTGAGCTGTCTTCCCTGTACTGACTTCCTATATTTTTTTTTTTCTAAAGCTCCACAGAATTCTTTTTAAGTATACTGTGATTAGTGAGGTTTAAAATAAAGGAATTTGATCTCCTGGAAGACAGCTTAGAGAATAACCCAGTCCAATTATTTAATTCTTTCCAGAAATAAAACACAGGCTAAGAAAACTTCAGACTAAAATTAGTGAATGTCCTTTGATAACTAGGGGAAACAACAACAACAAGAAAACAAAAACAAACAAAAATAACAAAGGATACCTAGAAAACCGTATGGAGAATATATTATCTTTTAATCATTAAAAGGAAGCTTAGATCAAGTTTAAATTCTATGAGGACTGAGCTATAATGAAACTAAGAGATGCCCAAGTAATAGTCGTACTTACTCATTACCCCAGTCCAGACGCACGGTGATGTGCCGTTTAACCTCCCGCACCTGATCCTGTGTCAGGTGACCAGACAGCAGCTGCCTTCGCAGGTCAATAAGTTCATTCATCACATGGCGTAGTTTGTAGAAAAGATCTACTTTGTGTTTCTGAAAGGTTTTTTGGTGTGGGTGAAATACAAAAGGAATATGGAAAGGGAATGAAAAGAGAAAGAAAAATAGTTAAACTATGAAAGTGCTCATTTCCCTGAGCTGTAAAGGCAATGTAAGAAGGAGCTTACTTAGAGACAGAGAGTGACTTCCTACTTTATAAAAATTCGTACATACACAGTGATATCTAACAAGGCAGCGTAACTAAATCTGGATCATGGAAAAAGCACCCCCGCTATCCAGCTCTCTCATCTCAAGTAAATCAAAGTTATTAAGCTTAATCAGAAAAGTAAATTACACAGGAGCCCAAAGCTGATTTCACAACGGAAGTAATAATGCCCTTAACAGCAAAGACTTGGACCATCTGGCAACACCTCTAGTTTCATCAGGAAGGATAGTCAAGTTAAAAGAAGGAGGGAAGAGAATTAATTGTCCTATTTTGAAGCAACTAAGGTTTCATATAAAGCCAGTCTCTAGAGTGAGATTCCTTTTTTAGTTTCTAGACCCCATCTAGCTTTCTCATTAGCTTCTTTTAAAAAGTGAGTGTCCCTAGAGTAGTAGATTTCCATTCCTTTCAGCTTAATAAAGATCTTTACATTTACAAAAGTTAAGTAGAAACATAATGAAGTTAATTAAGGGCCTTATAGTGTTTATTACCTTGCAAGTAAAAAACAAAAAAACTAAGTTTATGCTTTAAAAACTGTTCTTAATAATATAAATTTAAGAACTGAGGTCTTACTTCACAGGAGCAGCATCTTGATGTTTGGATACTTAGGGTTCTGTGTCTTTCAGAGGGAAATGTGATTTTATAGGACGACTGAGGGCCTTGGAATATAGCAAATCTACAAAGAATGCTTTTAATGATCAATCAACACATGCCATAGATGCAATCTTCTCCAAGTATTTTTCTTCTATAATTGCTTGAATTCACTGGCAGAAAGGGACAACTGTATTGTCACAGAAAGGACCCTAAAAAGGGTAATGACACAGAGAGTTGGAAATTTAATAAAATGACTAAATTTTCCCTTTGATTGCTTCATACTCAGAGGAAAGGCAAGATCATCAGCTGAGAGTAATACAAAAGGATGCTGAAGCTGTAGAATACACAAAATGGTTCCTTAGGGAATGCTAACATGAATGAGAGGAGAAAAGAATTTAAATTGCAAGGTAGTTCTGATATTTATTAACACTAACTAAGAGCAGGGTTGTTTTTTCAGGCCAACTGTATGGGAGTGTTCTGATATCAGTGCATCACATATGTGCACATACGTGCTTTGATTTATTCTCTTAAATTTTTTTTATTTTTATTTTATATGTATCAGTGTTTTTTCTAAATGTCTATCTGTGTATCACATGCAACCCTGGTGTCCAAAGAGGACTGAAGAAGCCACTGGATAACCCCTGAATTAGAGTTACAGAGAGTTGTAAGCTGCTGTGTTGGTGCTGTAAATCAAACATGAGTCTTCTGGAAAAGCAGCCAGTGCTTTTAAACTGCTGAGCCATCTCCGCAGCCCATGTGCTACAATTTGTTTCTGTTGCACCAAATTCACATTATCAAAATCCTAACCCCTAAGGCAATGGTATTAGAATGGAGTAATTTTGGGGAGACGATTAAAGTCATGAGGGCAGAACCCAAATAGCATTAATGCAATTATAACATTGTTCAATGGAGTTTATTCATCTCTTACACCATTTGAGGATGTAGTAAGGAGGTAACAGTTACACAGAAATGGACTCTTCCATGACAGTAATCCTGTGAGCATCTTCAACTTCAGAACTGTGAGAAATAAATTTCTGTTCTTTACAGTTTATAGTTTTGATATAGCAGCCTTAATAAACTAAGAGTATATGTGTAGGATATATGTGTATAATTTTTTAATTGGCATATACACATGTATAAACATAAACACATGTAATATATTATACACAATATCTATGCAAAACTATAGTGGTATAGTCTTTAGAGAATTACAAATAATTATTTATTTTTTTAATAATGAGTTTCATATTAAAATTTCCAGAGATGATAGTATCTCCCATACCCTGCTCTTCTGTAACAATATGACATTGACAACCCTACAGGAAAAGACAGTATGTTTCTCCATGAATCTAGCAAGGCAGGTCCTGAGACTGCTCTGAGCAACAGAACATAACAGCAGTGAACTAAGTCAGTTGTGAGCCTTTAGCTAGTCCACTTCTTAGGTCTCTTAGCATGCAAGAATAAGTGGATAAATAAAGTAGTTATGCTTTTCAAGGTAAAAGCTACCTTGCTGAAGCCACAAGTAGGCACCCTAATAACTGGTTCTGAATATGTGAGCAATACTGTACACCTAGCCTTGCCAAATCATTAGAGGCCTATTGACCACCCTACAACTATCTGACGACAACAGAATGAGAAACCATAGAGAAAACTGACCAACTTGAGCTACTGAAATAGTTAACAGTTGTTAAGCTACTAAGCTATGGCTGGTTTGTTATATAGGTAAATGGAATATTAACTGCTTACTTTTATCTAGGAGAAAACCCCTTCTCTATAACTATGTAAAGGCGGAAAAACTTGCCCTAGTCTAGTGTGTACAGATAAAGTGAGAATGAAATGGATCATGTAATTATAAAGTAGCACTATTATTGCAATCACTACGGTGTCAATTTCTTTCCTACATTCAATCCTCCACATTCTACTCAGTGGCGTCCTATCTCTAGACCTACTTCTGCCACACAGCAGCTCTGCTAACTTGCTTTTACCTGTAATAACTTCCTTCCTAAAACCTGACCCTACCTGTTGTCAGTAAAATTCACTCTTTTTAATTCTCAAGATGAGAACCTAAAGCCACTGACTCAATGGAAGTTCTGTGTAAGCAGAGCTCTAGCACTCTGGCTTGTAGCACTCTAACTCCTGAATGAAGCTGGCACACAACTGCATGTGCCAGAAGAAAATGCACTCCCCTGTTGGAATAACTGGGTGTGTAGTCATAATAAAATAAAAATAAGAAATAAACACAATGATAAATATTGCTGTAAATTTTACAATGTTGAGGACAAAGAGATGATCCATAAACTTTCAGGGAGGCAAACTATAAGTAAGATGAAGTAGAACAACACTGGCATAGCATGACAGAAACAACGGCATTAGACAATGGAAATAATGAAGGGGCACTTTAAAAGTTTTGCAGGCTCTGCCTTTGTTGTTCCTTTGTCTGTTTCAAAGAGTTTCACTGTATGTTTGGGCCTGGATGGACTCAAACTTGATCCTCCTGCCTCAACTTTCTGAGTGCTAGCTAGGATACGTGTGTATACCTACAGCTAGCTAAACTTCCTATATCTTATTTATAAATTTTCATATTTATCAAAACTATCACTTACAGGTAAGGGTAAGCTAATATATTTTAAAATGAGAAGCATTAATGTTTATTTTACTTGATTTTTTTAAAGAAAGCTACTGGTAAAGTGCTTTGTCAAATGAACAAATAAGCCAAAATTAAGGCAAAAGTTGTTTAGTCTAAAAGACATAGAAACCTAGGAAAGAAACAAAGATAACTTTCAGGACATATTAATATAGAAGGTGGCAGGGCTCCACACAGGATACAATGAAGAAAAATTATGTTGATTAAAAATACCAAGTGTATTTGAACATACTCAATGGAGATTTTTATTTCTGCTAAGAGGTTAGATTTTAGAAAATATAATAAATAAGACCAAGCAGTCAGGAACTATAAAAACAAGCAGTAAGAGAAAAGAAGCACAACCAAGACACTTATTTATTAAAATAATTACACAGAGCACACAATAATTGAATACTGACCAAAAAGGAGTGATATGGAGTTCATGAAGACAGTAACACAGACATTCTGACTATGACTCAGAAGGTAGTGACCTAGAATTCTGGACACAGGCAGGAGGAGATAGTACATATGTAAATGCATGAGCATTAAGTTTAATTCTTACCCTTTACGTAGGAAAATAATGAAATACTACCTAAAGTTTAAAAAGACATTAATTTGGGAAATATTATCAGAAAGACAAATACTGAAGAAATAGCTAAAAGATCGAGAAAGAAAAAAAGTATAGACTTGGAAGTGGGAATGAGAAGAGACGGCACCAGGACCCACATTTAATTAAATGACTAGCAGTCCTTGGTGCATAAATTTAAAAACCAGATTTACATACATCCTTTACTGTTTTAAAAGATAAAATTGAATAACCCCAACTATAAAAGGCCTTCCTCCATCCCCTACCCCAGCTGAGTTATCACAGACACAAAGCTGAATCTGAATACAGCCTTCACTCCTTCTTACCAACTTAAATATTGATAAATGGAACTAGAAAATCTATCTCAGTACAACGACTCCCTTTCAGAATCAACACAAAAGCTAGACCACTTACATGTCTCATTCCTGGAACACATGAGAAATGAAATACATTCCACAGCAGGTGGCCCTGGAGAAAGCCTTGTGTCTTAACTACAGTGTGGCATTTGTCCACAGGCAGCTTTCGCACTCTGGTGATGGATAGTGCATATAAGCAGCAGTGGTAGAAGCTACCCTGCCAACCAAGCCCCTTCAGGGTCTCAGACACCCCAGAGCAGTAAAGGAAAATAAAAAGGCAGAAGGTACATATCTACATCCAGTTGTCTAGACATACAGCAGTGGTCACTTCATACCAGGACCTGATACCAAGGAAACACAAAAGTTTCCTTTTAAAGGCTCCCTGTTATACTATACTAATAAACCTACATCTTGTTTATTCTAGTTCTCTTAAAGGTCTGTTTTTCCTAATAGGGAAAAGAAGCTAGATACTTTAAATGCTAAATACCTCACCCCTGCACTTCCCAAGAGATTTCTCAAGTTCATCACTAATCAGCAGTAACGTAAGAACATTCCCTGCCTTCCTACTACTGATTGTTCCTCTGAATTTTAATAATTCTTTAACAATGTACCACAGTGGGTAAGGTATACTAGATACAGAGTCAAGAATGCTTGGTGCTTTATCTCAACTGCCAA